CATCACCAACAACGCAAATATGAGATCAGGGCTCTAGCAGCTGACAGTACGACCTTGCCCTGCCCTCAGCCCGGGCCCCGCCGCCCGCCATCGAGCGCACGGCCTCGACCGCTGCCGCCGTCGTGCCTCCTCTGGCCGGCCGCGCTCGTTTTGCCGTCGTTGCCCTGGCAGCCAGCCGCGGGCTCGTCCGTCCCCCTCCCCACTCGCCGACATCCCCCTTCCCCTTGCCCCACCCACCCCCTCCCGCCCACATCGTTCGCCTCTCCCCCCCCCCTCCTTCGCAAGGCCTCTCACAAAACGCGCGCAGCGTCGGCCGGCCACGCCTCCCTCCCTCCCTCCCTCCTCCCTATTTCTCCTCCCGTCCTCCTCCTCCCTCCTTGCTCCTTCTCGGGGAGAGGCGAGAAATGACGCGGCTGCCACGGAGCACTGCGTCTGGGCTGCGGGGATTCATTCATAATCCCCTGCTCACCTCTCCTCCTCCTCCTCCTCCTCCTCCGCCTCCTCCTCCTCCTCCTCCTCCTCCTCCTCCTCCTTGTCAACCTCCTCCTCCTCCTCCTTCTCCTCCTCCTCCTCGTCCTCCTCGTCCTCATCCTCGTCCTCGTCCTCGTCCTCGTCTTCATCCTCGTCTCTCCCTCCATCCCTTCCTCCTCCTCGTCCTCACCCACCACCCTCATCATCATCCTCCTCCTCACCACCATCCTCCCCCTCCTCATCCTCATCCTCACCGTCCGCCGCCTCCATCCTCCTCATCCTCCCTCCTCATCACCACCAGCACCGCCACCACCACCATCATCATCCTCACCGCCATCATCATCATCATCGTCATCATCATCATCATCATCATCATCAGCATCATCATCATCATCATCATCATCATCATCATCATCATCATCATCATCATCATCATCATCGTCGTCATCATCATCATCATCATCATCATCATCATCATCATCAGCAGCAGCAGCATCATCAGCATCACCATCATCATCATCATCAGCAGCATCATCATCACCATCAACATCATCATCGCCATCAGCATCAGCATCATCATCATCATCATCATCATCATCATCATCAACTCATCAACTCATCATCATCATCATCATCATCATCATCAGCATCAGCATCAGCATCATCATTATCATAATCAACAACAGCACCATCATCAGCAGCATCATCATCAGCAGCATCAGCATCATCATCGTCATCGTCATCATCAGCAGCAGCATCATCAGAATCGTCATCATCATCATCATCATCATCAGCAGCAGCATCATCATCGTCATCGTCATCAGCAGCAGCGTCATCAGAATCAACAGCAGCAGCATCATCATCATCACCATCGTCAGCAGCAGCATCGTCGTCGTTGCCGTCGTCGCCGACATCGTCATCATCATCATCATCAGCAGCAGCAGCATCCTCATCATCATCATCAGCAGCATCAGCATCATCATCATCAGCATCAGCAGCAGCAGCAGCTCATCATCGTCATCGTCATCCTCGCCATCGTCGTCGATATCGTCGTTATCGTCATCAGCATCATCATCAGTAGCAGCAGCAGCAGCATCATCAGCAGCATCATCGTCGTCATCAGCACCAGCACCACCATCAGCATCATCACCACCACCACCCCCATCATCAGCAGCAACATCATCATCATCATCATCATCATCACCATCATCATCATCAGCATCATCATCAGCATCAGCATCAGCATCAGCATCATCACCAGCATCATCACCATCACCACCACCATCATCACCACCATCATCATCATCATCACCAGCATCTATCTTGTCTGCTCCGCAGGCGTGTGTGGCTCTGAACGTCTTGCTGGACCCAGGTCCTTAACAAGCAGAGACGCAGAGACGTGGCCACAGTGCAATCCAGCCGAGGCCGCAACAAGACAGACAAGTGGCAGCAGAGGTCACAGTGGTGTGTGGAGGCGTAGTGACACAATCGTCCCAAGACTGGCGTGCAATATGACTAACAGCGGCCGTGTGTTTGTTCGCTGAACATACGTTCTATCGTTACATCCACTTCTTCCCCCAAGATTTCGTGTCAGGTGTGAGCTGGCTCTCATCGTCATCGTTGGTACCGTGTACCTTTTTAAAACCTGCTGCAATAATGGTTTATTCATACCAAAAAAATGCGATTGGGCACAGTGTTATTTGGTGTTACTGGTTCGGCAACTGGTTTCTTCCTTACTGATAGTGTTGTTGTTGTTGTTGTTGTTGTTGTTGTTGTTGTTGTTGTTGTTGTTGTTGTTGTTGTTTCATACTCTTCCAGGTTCCCTCCCATGTGATTTGTGTTCGTGCTGAGTGCGATGCCAACGTGTGCTCGTTGGCTGAGGCCTACGACGTGCCAGGCGTGGGCTTCAGAAGTAGCTGCGGGTGTTCGACCTCATCTTGGTCAGTCTGGCCCGCAGTCTGGTGATGCCAAAGGCTTCGTGGGCTCGTGCGAGATTTTTCTGCCGAATGATGTAGTTGGCATGTGAAACGCGATGCACTGGACTCAGGCGATTGCGCAAATCATGGGCTTTACTCTGTTGCGGATAATGTTGCAGAAGGACGACCTTCCTCGCTGGGCTCGACGCACGGTAGTGAAGATTCCGAGGGAGATGGCTTTTTACATGTTGCATGGTTCAACTGGGTTCGTGGAGCACCAACAGTCCAACTTGCGTCAGTGCACTGGAACGGGTTCCTCCGTCTACATCGTGTTTGGTCACCATGGTCCGCATCTTGGAAAGGCGAATGTTGCTCGGGCTCGTGACCGTCCTGGGCTCCCTGAGATGTGCGCTAAGTAATGCAATATAGTGTTGGGCTTTCACTCTCGCCAGGATTCGGAGTTGACTAAAAATGTTTCGTCGCAGAAGCCGGTAGGTATAATCGGCTTTCTTCCCGGCGGCGTCCGACTGAGATCAAGGCGTCGTCCATCGAGAGGCGCTGTTCCAGATACTAAGTCCTCATTGTGATGGTGCTGATTAACGACTCCTGCTGAATATCCAGCGTCATGGTGTTCGCATTCGCACTGAGCGCGCTGAACCGCATGCTCGACCTTTCTCAAGGCTTCCGGGTCATCCAACACCTTCAACGTGGCATTCGACTGTATTCCGTGATGCTCTATGCAAGAAACCCGTGAAGTCTTCGAGGGATCCGTCACTAATCCGTGGGAGTTTTAAGAAGCTGTGTTTGTTCGGCCTTCAATGTATTGCTATTTCTACTGGTACGCTCGGTCCCCGTAACTTGCTGGATATGAACCCTTGTACGTGAACATGCGACATGCTCACTGTGCTCCAAAGGATGCTGATACTGCATTTCCAAAGTCTTGGTCTCTGTGGCAGAAGGCTGAATGTATGTATGAGTTGGCTGGTTCTCTCAAGGCGAGGATGGGTGGTTTCTCATCCAAGTTTGCTGCGCAGGTTCATCTCAATCGTTTATGTGGCTGGCTGCGATTACCACCAGTGACGGTGGCTCCTGTGGTAATCCCTCGTGATCTCCTTCGGCGTCTGCATATACTTCGCTTGTGCCAGCTCGCGTCGCAGGAAATACTGTGCGAACCTGCGCGGCGGTGGCTCTGTCATCATGTTTGTGTTTGCTGCGAAGAGTTCCGTATGGGCTGATAACTTCAATGTGAAGTGGATCCTTTTGTCATTCAAATTTCCAGAATGCATCGAGTTCGTGGCTTGGGCGTTGCGCTACTTCCCCTTCGTTGAATGCGTTCAGTGGTCCATTGAAGCTGCAGATTGGTCCGACGACATCTCGTATGTCCCGATTGCTGCAGCGTTCTTGGGCGGACAAGTGTCAGCGCCATCGGCTTCATCCGCGCGATCGGCGCCGTGATCGAAGTGCTCTAACGCATGAGGTTCAAGCTGTCCATTTCCCGCCTCTTCCTGGGCCGTGGTCTGATCTAGAGGATCATTTCCGCGAAGTGGTTCGACAACGTGGTGCGTTAACGTGGGAAGATAAGGATTCGACAAAGTTGTGGCCGATTAAGGATGGGCCGATCGGTCCATGTCTTGTTCACCAAATGCTGGCGGATACATCGTTGTGGCGTTATCATCCGCTCCTAAGTCCTCATGATGTTCTTGCGTGGTGTGAAGCTCGTGCGCAGTTGGGCCTACCTGAGTTCATTAATGCTCGCCTTGGTGTGCGTCACGGCGTACATCGTCCCACCTTGTTTTCCTTTGGAGTGTGTTCAGATTCTGGCCAGTGGAAGTGTGAGCGTCTGGTGCACGCGACGAATTATCGAAATGTCGTCGAGACCTCTTGCTCGGTCGTGGAAAATCACTGGCCCTGCCGATCGAGCTGCTCTTGAGGTCTCTCACGTTGGTTATGATATTATGAAAATGGGTGACGTTGGCATGAGTTTGAGGGGTGATAGTACAGACATGCCCGCACCTCATGTACCTGGGTCCTGCCTGCGCTCATGGCCGTCATGGGCACGGCCACCTCCATTTTTCGACGTTCGACGTTGACCAAGTATTCGAGAATTGCCGCAGTGAGTACGCCATGCCGGCATGGTTGCGTTTGGAGTCTCACTTCGTGCACGAACAGGTGTTGACATCGTTCTGATTGCGAAATGCAATCAATACAGAGCCCCTGCGGGTACTCGATCTTGCAATCGTGCCTGGTAGGCCCCGTCCTTGGAGTCTTTGGGGAAGGCCCTGCATGCTGGCTCTTTCTAGGATTTCGCTATCGGGGGGGCGAGATCTGCGACGTCCAGCCAGCTTCTTGCTTCAGCAAGCAGAGCGCCGCCACCTGCATCGACGTCGAAACAGACTGCCTCCTCGCCCAGTGTCAGCGGCGTCACATCGAGCAGCAGCAAACCCTTCTTGGACTCGTCACTCGCCACTGCTGTCTCGGCTGGTGGTGGTGGCGGTCGCCTCTAGCTGCTGCATCGCCCTCTCTTTGACAGCAAAGATCTTGCCATCGGTGGGGTGGGTGCGGTTCTGGCTCTCCGTCGTTCGGCCGCATACTCCGCCATGCCCTCACAGCAGCCCCAGTCTCGGAATTCACCGAGTTCGTGTCCACCAGCTCGTTAACGATGTCTCGCACCATCTCGGTGAAATATCCTGGCTCATGGTCCACCTCGTCCGACTGGCCCATCTTGATGGGAAGACCTCCATCCCAATCGCGGACAGGGAAATGCCGTAGATCAAAGTGAATGTGTGCGTGCCGACGTCGGAGAAGGAGAGGACATCTTAGTCTCAAATGCACCCTTGAGCTGTTCCTCCTTCGAAGTGCTGTCGAAGTCGCATAGCTTCGCGCAGTCCTGCTTGATCTTGCCCTCGTAGGCCTGCCTGCAGTTGTTCCCGTCGCTCTCGAGTTCGGATTGCTCCGCTTGCATCTGCTCGGTCTGATCCCCTATAGGCCTTCTCGAGGTCGTGCAGTTTCGCGATGCCGTTCCCGAGCTTGGGGGCCACCGCGAACTCGGTCAGCGTTCGCTCGAACCGCTGGTAAGTGAGACGCTTCACCAAGTTGTAGGCCACATCAACCCTCTCGGCCGCCTCGGTCGGCCGAGAGCAGAACACGCCGGCTGTCCGCGCAGCCCTGGCGGCCACCGCGAGGCCCTCGAAGGTTCGCTCCACCTCCTGCTCGATTGAGTCCACGAGCGTGTCTCGCAGGATGTACAAGCGTCCGACGCGCGAGCCAAGAGGCACCTCCATCGCAACGAGCGCACAGACGCCTTGCAGGCGCGCCAACACTTCTGCGGGCCCGCCTCCTCCTCCGCCTCCTCCTCCTCCTCCCCCTCATCTTCCTCCTCCTCATCCTCCTCCTCCTCCTCCTCCTCCCCCCCTTCTCCTCCAGCCGGTGTGCAGCCAGCCTCCAAAGAGGTCGTCGACCCCCTCCGCACCCTCACCCAGCGCGCGCGTGCCACCTACTCGCGGGCGCGCCCGTGCCGAGACCCCGTCGCCGCTGCCAGATGTTGGCACGGCGAGGGGCAAAAAAGGGACTGCTCGCCGCCGCTCTCTTTCAAGAACCAGCGGGCCTCGCTGCCGCCCGAAGTCCGCCGAGCCTCCCAGCGGCTCAAAGCCAACGCCGTACAAAGTCAACGCTCAAATCACACGAGGCCCAGCCAAACAAAGTAACGGCCGTACCGAATCTGCCAGGTACTCTTCGGGGGCTGCTGAAGATGACAATGGCCCAAGGTGCCCCCAGCTTTTCGCTGCAAATTGAAGACCATAGGGGCTCTCTGGGAATCATAAGGGGTGTCATGGGGCCATGGGGAGCCTCCTGGAAAATCCTGGGGGCACCTTGGGCCAGGGACACTGCCAGCAACACCCGAACTCTTCGCCAAAGAACAACTTTTTCACTGCCACTACAGGGCAGCTCAGGCCCACTTTCGGGCCTGGGTTTTGATGTACACCACCTCCCTGCCGGGCCGGGAGGCCCTGCACACCGAGATCTGGCCCCGAAGTGGGCTTGGGCCCTCCCTCTCACCCTGCTTCTCGCAGCCGTCTTGGACAGGCGAGCACTGGACACGCTGCCGCACGCACCCCCAGAACGCTGAGCTCCTCCTCCTCCTCATCATCATCATCATCATCATCATCATCCATTCATCCATCCATCCATCCACCCACCCACCCACCCACACACACACACACCCATCCATCCATCCATCCATCCATCCATCCGTCCATCCATCCCATCCATCCCATCCATCCCATCCATCCCATCCATCCATCCATCCATCCATCCGTCCATCCGTCCATCCGTCCATCCGTCCATCCTCCCTCCTCCCTCGCAAGCGCAACCCCGAAAGGGGGGGGTCTCGACGGCATCGGCGCAGGCCATCCACTGCCCGACAGCTCTGGCGTGAAAACAGGCCGCTCGGGTCCGAAAACTGGCTCCACGCCCGGCGGCGGCCCCCGCCCCTGTGAGACAAAGGATCGGGTGTTGCTAGAAGTGCCCCTGGCCCAAGGTGCCCCCAGGATTCTCAAAGAGGCCCTCAACGGCCTCCAGAGCACCCCTCACGAGGCCCAACCCCCAGGGGCTTCAAAATTGATCGACAAGCTGGGGGCACCCACCTTGGGCCAGGGGCACCTGTAGCAACCCCCGAAAGGGGGCGGGCAAAAGAGCGAAGCGAACAGACCGCGGCCAGCCCCGATGCAAAGGCTCCGAAGAGGACAAGGAAAAGACTCGGCCTGGCGAAACTCGGCCAGGCCGAACTCGGCCCGGGCCGAACTCGGCCCAGGCCGAACTCAGCTCGGCCGAGTTCACCCTCGCGAGGGTCAGCTGGCCGAGGACAGCTGGCCGAGTTCAGCCTGGCCGAGTGCGGCCTGGCCGAGACCAGCTGCTGCCAAGAGGCCCCCAGGAGCCCTCCGAGAGGCCCCTGGCCCACAACCCGGGCACGGTGCTGGGACTGAGTATCGTTTATCCGATCCCCATCCCCAGCGGCGTGGCCTGGGCCCCACTGGCCGATTTACCCCCCTGGATGGGGATATAGGCCCTTCCCTTCGGGCTTCGAGGGGTGTATCCCCAACTGGGGTGGTAGTTTGGTGGGGGGCTCGAAGGGGATGGGGATGGGGGTGGGGATCGGTGAAACGATACCGAGGTACGGCCCAAGGCCACCAGAACCGCAGGGGCATCGCGGGACGCCCTGGGGGCGCGAGCGTCGGCCCCATCGGGGGGCCCCGACTTCCCTGCGCCGGCCTCTGCCAGGCTCCCGCCCTCCCCTGGTAGAGGCCGCCCCCGCTGCTCGGCGGCGCACGCCAGAGACAGGGGGAGCGGGAAAGGCGTCTCGGCAGGGGGCTGCTTCTTGGAGGGCGCCGGTGTCCTGCGTCTACAGACAAGAGCCCCGCGCCTGCTGAGAAGCCGGGGTGCCTCCAAGAAGCCTCCCCTCCCCTCCCCCACTTCCCCCTCTGCGCGTGGCCGCCTCTTGCCCCTCTCCGGCGTCCGCGGCACCTCCTCCGACCTCCGCGCGCGGGCGAGAAGCGTCGACCCTGCGGCCCGCCGCCGAGGACAAGAGGCCGCCCTCCCGCAGCCCCGGCAGCGCCTGGGCCGCTGCCGCTCGCACCGGGCGGGGCCTGCTGGCTCGCGCCCCCGCCCCCGAGACGGGCGGCTGCCGCCCCGGCTCTGTCTGCCGCGCCCCGCGTGCGCACGCGCCCGGCTGTGCCACGGCCCCCCCCCCCCGCGCGAGCGCGCGCGGCGGCCGGGCGCGCCAGGCGAAGAGCTCCCCGTGGCGGGGTCGAAGGCACCCTGCCACGGCCTACGTGCCTCCTCCTCCTCCTCCTCCTCCTCCTCCTCCTCCTCCTCCTCCTCCTCCTCCCTCCGCCTCCTCCTCCTCCTCCTCCTCCCTCCTCCTCCTCTCTCCTCCTCCTCCTCCCTCCCTCCTCCTCCTCCTCCTCCTCCTCCTCCTCCTCCTCCTCTCCTCCTCCTACCTCCTCCTCCTCCTCCTCCTCCTCCTCCCTCCGCCTCCTCCTCCTCCTCCTCCTCCTCCTCCTCCTCCTCCTCTCCTCCTCCTCCTCCTCCTCCTCCTCCTCCTCCTCCTCCTCCTCCTCACTCCCCCCGTCCCTCCCGAGCCTGCCCTCCCGCCTCCCCCGAGCCCTGCCGCCCCCCCTTCCTCCAGTCCGCCCCGTCGCCTCCAGTATCATTTCTCCTCGATCACACCGTCGCCCCGCTTCTGCCTCCGCCCCTCCCTTCCTCCCCTTCTTCCCTCCCTCCCCCCCCTCTCCTCTCTCTCTATCCTCCACCCCCCGCCCATCATTCCCTCTCTCTCTCTCTCTCTCTCCCCCGCCCCCCCCGCCCATCATCTCGCCCACCCTTCTCCCCCCACCAGGCGCCGTCTGCACGCAACCCTTCCGGTCCCCTCCCCGCTCCTGTCCGCTCCCCTCCCTCCCCTCCCTCCCTCCCTCGCTCCCTCCCTCCCTCCCGCCGTAGCCATCACCACCAGAGCCATCGCGATCGCGCGCGTCGCGCTCGCTCGAGTTCGAGCTCGCTCCGGCGCCAGGGCACGCGGAGGAAGGACCTTGTCATGATGATCCAGAACTGCACGTCGGCGACACAATCTGAGGGGGGAGAGAGGGGGATCTGCCAGCTGCACGCAGGAGTGGCCCTGCAGTCATAGTACTACCACATGGAGAGCTGAACAAGAAACGAAGGCGCTTTTCTGGCTCCGGTGAGCCTCGGCCACCAAGAGGCTCCACGGCCTCAACCTCAGGAGCGGCACGACACAAACAGAGCCTCTCCTCAACATCACATGGTCCTTCTATCAGCGTCTTGACTCTAACACTAGGCTAGGCAGGAGTGACGACCTTGGCGAGCAGCATTAGAGGACCGCGAAGAAGGCCAAATTCAAGCAATGCAAGCGCGCTGGCCAATACTGGCGGATCACTGTGTTCCCGCACCAAGGGTCACACTGGCGAAGGATCACTACTACGCGTAGCCGAGACTGGCTCCGAAAGCTTGTGTCTGTGCATGTGCTTCTCCCTGGAGAGAGGCACCCAGGCCAGAATCGGCGAAGAGTGGGCGACTGGGCCTGTCCCCGCCCCGATCGGCGATCAGCGGGCGACTGTGGGTCGATGCATGCCCCCTGAACCCTTCCCCAGCCCCCGTAATGTTCGAGTCATAACTGGCGCCTCTGGCGACCGTTCGGCACGATCCAGGCACCCCTGGAACGCCCTCGGAGGCCCGAAATGCGTCCCCCCCTGAGCCGATCCCCCCCCCAAACGCTGCCCCTGAGCGCTTCTTTCGGCTCCTTCCCCTCAAGCTGCCCCGCAGCCCATCTCCCCCCGAACGTCCTGCCCCTGACCTTTCCTTCCCCATGCCACCTCGCCTTCATCGTCCCTCTCGGCGACGCGCCGGGGGGGAGTGAGGGGGCGGGCCTTCTCGGAAGGCTCGGAAGGCCTCCAGCCTTCGGAGAAGTTTCCTCTCAGAAGGCGCGAGGGCTCCCGAGACGCCCCGCCGCCTTCCGAGAAGGCCCGCTCCTTCTGTCCCGCCGTCCCTCCCCCGCCCCGCCTTCTCGTCCCTCCCCCGTCCCGCCGGCGCCCCTGAGCGCTGGACCCCGCCGCGCCCCCCCCCGCCGTCCTCTGGCCCCTGGCTCGGACCTCCTCGTCTTCGTCGCGCTGTCGTCGTGCCGTGCCTTCGCCGCGCTGCCGCCGTGGCCTCCCCTGGCCCCTCGGCCTCCCCTCGGTCTGCCCTCCTCCTCCTCCTCCTCGGCCTCCCCCCCCTCCTTCTCCTCCCCTTCCTGCTCCTCTTCCTCCTCCTCCGCCTCCTCTCCTCCTCCTCCTCCTCCCCCTCCTCCTCCTCCCCCTCTCCTCTCCTCCTCCTCCCTCCCCCCTCCTCCCCCTCCTCCCCCTCCTCCCCCTCCTCCTCCCCTCCTCCCCCTCCTCCTCCTCCTCCTCGGTTAGCGGACCCGCACAAGGCCACCCCAGGGAAGCTCCATAGGATCACCAAGCCTAAGGCCCGTTTTGAAGACGAGAGCGTGTTGGAGGGGGTTAAAGCGTCCTCCCCTGTTGAGCTAGTGGACCAGAAAACCCGCATATTTAAAACTATTTGGTCTTCCACATCGGTGTCCCAGCAAGACTCAGTAGCCGTCTTGGCTCGAGTTCGGCAGCGAGCGCTTGAGGCGCCCGCTAGGCCCTGCTGGACACTCGATACTTTTGATCAGGCCCTCCGCCTCCAGCCTGATAAAGGCCGAGGCGTCGATAGATTCGTTGCATCAGAT